CCATTTTGACATTTCCCACAGGATTTACGGTTCCAGTACCGATATGGCCATGAAGAGGTTCGATAGATACCCTAGATAAGGAAAATTTTCATGTTTAAAAGGAAAAATTTGAAAAATAAATATAATTCTTGAAAACTATGTGAGAAAAACAGATTATAAGACTCATAAGAAAAACGGTTATTTTAATTTAAAAATCATACTTCGCCATTATTTGCATTAAGTGCTTTTGTTTTAGCACATTGTCCATCTTCACAATGCTGCGCAGAAATTGAGGTCTTTAACTCAAAATTTTTGCAGACTTGATGAGATATGGAGGAAGATATCTCTCCAGATTCACCACAAAATATTTTCTGTGGCTGGTTTATGTGGTGCATATCAACATTCTCCGTATGCTGAACTATTTCGGCCAAAATTGAGGTTGGTATATCAACAACCTAAAATTATAGCAATAAAAAACTGAACAAAATGCTGAATATCAATAAAAAAAAAAAAAATACATCTTCGCCACTGTGAAAACTAGAACGCTTTCTAAGAACTAAAGGATTCATCAAATGCTGATCGGTGGCGACCGCAACTGAACGCATTTTCGTATTACTTTTCTCGATCGATCGTTTTCTATCAAACTTTGCAACACTGATTCTTTCTAATTTCCTTTGAAAACGATCGCCATTTTGACTACGGATTACGCACTGATTATCACTTCTAAATTATAAAAATATTGATAATACTTTAGCAAAGTGAAGAAGATATTTAGTGACAAATTTCTTGGATTTCCCAACTATTTTTGACAATTCATTAACCTTGCTGAATTGATCGTACTATAAAATCCACTGTCTGAAGCTTCTAATTCACTGGCAAGGGAATCGTATAACGAATCGGTACTACTGGCTCTAAAATTCGTTAACTGTAATAACTTGATTTTGTCTAAGATATTAATATATATATTAACAAAATAGGGAAATTCGATTTTATTTGATTGATTTATTTTGATTAATTTAATTAGCCATTTCTGTTCGTAAAAATTTTGAGCGGTCGTTTTTCTGTTCCGCTATTCTCTTAAGCTAATTCTGCAACATTCAAAGCTACATAAATTAAGCTATTTTTTTTATCTAACAAATTAAAAATTAAATTACAATTTGTTATAATTATAATTTATCGGAGGTCTGTCTTCCTCATGTCGGCTCTCAAGTAACAATTATTGAACCTTGTTCCGAGCAAAGATATTGGTTATATTACTGTGGTGTCTCGGGGTTATGAAATGGCGTAACGATTGTCATGTCTGAAAAGGTTTGATCTGCTCTGACTGAGTGGAAGCCAGTAAATGACCGTATGGCCTACGCGCGTTTCAACAGAAAATCCTGTAATATTTCGGTCATCTGCATCTATGCTCCAACTTTATGCGTAGATGATCGCGATAATGACAAGTTCTATGCGAAATTTCAACTGTTAAAAGCATCTCTACCGAAAGATGACAGTCATAATTGGGGAAGACTGGAATGCGCGCCTAAATCATGATGCCGTTACGATAAATTCGTTAATTAGCAAATATGGTATCGGCGTCCAGTGCGTCAATGGAGAATGCCTTCTTCGTTCTGCCGAGGAATATGAACTCTTTGTAATATATTCTTTCGGCACGGGAGAAAACATCTAATCACGTGGAATTTTCCCGATGACCAATATTCCAACCAGATTGACTTGGTCAGTTTTGGAAAAGTTCCGTACTTGATAATCATTCTTATCGGGGCGCTGAAACTGGCAATTGCCACGGATCAGACCATGTTATGGCTTTAGCTAAGATTTGTATAAAACTGAATCTTAAGAAATAACGTATCCCAAGATCTTTCAACTATCTTAAATTAAAAGATCGAGAAACAATAAGTGCATTTCAAACCGTATTATCGAAACCGGATTACACCTCAGTGAAATGAACGCCAGTGATATCTCGGGAACGGCGAATGAATACTGGTCCCAACTAAAGACATGCCTACAAAAATCAACCACTTCCACATTAGAGTACACTAGTAGCAAGTGTACTAGTTGGGTGTCGAAAGCAATTGTCCAACTTCTGAAAAACCTGCTAAAGCCCGAATGTCAACAGATCCTGACTATCGGGTATTTCGAAGAATTCATTGCTACTGGATCAATATGACCTTGAGAATGGAGACGGCGACTCGGATAAGTGATAATAGGAAACTGTGTCGCCTTCTTCACAAAGCAACTATAATTCGAGAAAGAGTCAGTGAAATGATATGGGATATTAATGCAATGCCTTTAAGGCTTAAGGATCGCCTCAGAAGATGGAAAGAATTTTTTGCCAAATTTAAACATGATGCGCCATCTGTTGTCCCGGATATATTTGAATTGCCCATCGAGCCTTACGTCATAATCTCTGTAAACCATAAGCTTAAGGCCAATAAAATCCCGTAGAAAATAGTCTTCGGGTCAACTTTTCAAATGTTGTCCATCATCGTTCATAAGTCACCTTCAACAAATGTATGGCAAAAGGAAATAATACCAGAAGACTGTGCAGCAAAGTAATTCTTCCAATTGCTAAGAAATGTGACAGGACATGCTGTGAAGAATCAGACTACTGGACATCTCCGGAAAAAAATTCGCTTTCCTTCTGCTAAATAGACTCGTAGCAACACCAGATAGCACAGTGCTCCTAATCAAGCTGGATTCAGACCGGGATACGGTTGTGATGACCTGATATTTATGATAAAATGAGTTTTGGAACATCGCTTCAAACACCAGCAACCCACCATTCTTGCTTTATCGATTTTACAACTGCCTTCGATTCGACTGACAGCACTCTGGTAAATCATGAAATATGACGGTGCCCAGAGAAGATATTCTGCTCATAAAGGCATTTTATCAAAACACTTTGTCACAGGTATATACGGGAAACTAAACCTGAACCTTTCGAAATTAAAACTGATGTCCGTCCTTTCCCCTATACTATTCAACTATAAGATAGAATGGATAATGGGCATCGTTTGTCGGAATTCAAGAGGTGGGTAAATCAGTCAAGAGCACAGCATCACAGAAGACGCTGATGATATAATCCTTTTTGCATAATGAAGTAATAATGTAATAATGTTAACCAATGTGTCAACTGCAACGAGAATTGGACTCAAAATTAATAAAAGACTTTTCATCTTATGTACAAAAGCTAATAAAATGCCTCCTTTTATAAATTCATTCTACCTGTTAAAGAAATGCCCGATTTAAAATACCTTGGATCCATTCTAATTCCAAATGGTCAGGCAAAATTGTAATCCGGATAGCGACAAAAATGTTTTTCCGGTTGACGAAACGGAACCGTCGCGAAAATATCATAAAAACGAAAGTCCATATAGCTGCAATTCGCTCGATCTTGCTGCGAAACAATGAGAATGGAAGCTATCAGCCACACATATCTAAGATACATTTTACGGATCTATCGAGCGGATAAAATCGCACAAAATCACATGGTTGTAACCATTTTCGCTCAAATACCACCTATAATAATAATTTTTTCACAGAGCGCCAGCTTCGCTGGTTAGAACACGTTCTCCGTCGTCCACCACAGGTGTTGACGTATATTTCACTATTTGCCGAATCTTGTGATAGTTGGTGTCAAAAGCAAGGAGAGCCAATTATAATCGGGACTGTTACAATCAGAAAAGATTTCGAACGTATAAAAGGACCAGCGATGTATGGACTTAGATGATGGAAAAAGGCTTTTATTACTTCTATTACTACTAGCGATAGCGTCAGATCGAGCAGCTTGAGGCAGTTCTTACCCTTGTAACCAGCGGAGCACGTCTAACCAGTAATGATGAGAGCCAAGAAGAAGTAATTAGTTATTTATTAATTTAAGGGAAAAAAGCAAAAGTAGCCAGCCTATAAGACAACTTATTCTGTCGGAAAGTGCCAAGTTCTTCTTCAGCATCATGTAGCATACTCATAACTTCAGCATAACGCTCATGAAGTTCGACAACCTCTTTCGACAAAGCTTCATGTTTCGCCAATACATTATTTAAGAGTTCATGAAGATCTGCATTCTCGTTCAATAACTAAAACAATAATAATTCAATTGTTTAAAGAAAATTGTTTCCATCGTATTTAAACATTATCAATCACTAATGAAATAATTTTGTTTGCTATCTTATAATTTTTCTCATAAACGTTCAAAAATAACGTCCATCATTGCCACCAAAAAACGTTAAAAAATTGAAAAAAATCGATAAAATAATAAAACTTATTATCTTCACTCAATATCAATAATGTGAAACTGTATTTTGAAATAATTTTGAAATTTTGTCTCACAGTCTTTTCTCGAATTTTTCTAGAAGACACATTTCGTAGAAGCCGTTCAATTTCGATATTCTGCATTGCACATTCTTCATTTCTTTCCATAATCGACGATTGTAAACTAGCTATCTAAAAAAAATATAAAAACTGGAGGCAACTGAAATAAGAAAAATACATTAAGAACCATAAATGACTTATAAATCATAGGTGGAAATTGCCGAAGAAACATTCATTTGTTCATGCCAATATCATTTATGATAAATTAACCTTTTCATTGGCAATATCTAAATTTTTACAGCATTCATTTATGATAAATTAACCTTTTCATTTGCAATATCTAAATTTTTACAGCATTCTTTCATTTTTAACCGTTCTTCTTTTTCAAGACTAGACGAATATTTTTTTAGATTCGCTGCCTACAACATATAACGGAAATATTACAAGGAAAAGATTTTAACAAAAAAAATATTAAATAATTATAAATATAAGAATTAATTTTTGAAGGAACCTACTGAAAAGAAATTTGAAAGAATTCTTTTCCTTCATAATTGGAGAAGTAAACCACAAAAAAGTTCGAAAAAAAAAAACAAAACCACAAATAAAACCCAACAAATAAAACAAATGAAAAATAAAAAATTTGAAGTATTAATCAATCAATTTGATAAATCTATCTTCATTCATACTTACCAAAAAATAAAGATAAATTAAACCTCTAATTTCAAATTTGTGTTTTCCTCTTCAAGTTTTTTTACCCGTTGCTGAAGGCTTTCCACCATTGACAATTTTTCTCTGAAAATAATAAATCTATTAGATTTAGAACAAGTTCCAGCAAAATTTCCTTTTCCTTACAGGACAGTTAAATTTAACTCTCGAAATAGCATAAGTTAAAAACCATTCTGCATTCCTACGAAAAAAGCAACCTCGATATAGGTGAATCAAGATCATCTTCATAATCGGCATAAACATGTAACAAATTGATTCGCATTTGAAGTTCATGTCGTAATTGAACAATAGCTTCATTACTTGCATTTAATGATTCTTCTAGAAAATCATTCCTAAAAAGTTCATTTCATTTACTCTTTCCCAGCTCTCCATTTCCAGTCCTGTCGACATTTTTAATTTGAATCGCAAAATGGATTTAAACTTACAATTCCAATGAATATAATACAAGTTCCATAAATATTTAAAAAGAAAAACGAACCGATCTTGTAATTCGCGATTTTGTTCGAGAAGTGATTGCCCAATTTTAGCAGCCAATTCAAGATCTTTTTCCTTCTGTAAAAATTTCCATAAGCATATCAGTTTTTCCGTTTTCCCTTCTCTTTAAAATCTTATTTTTTCACCTTAATTGTTTTTAACCAAATATTTTTAAATATTTATTGAATATTTTAAAAAATGTTAATATTTACTGATAATTAATAATAATAAAATAAAACTTTACCATATTAGCAACCAAAAAAGCTTAAATTTCGCGAAAACTCAGCAATTCATCTATTGAAAAGAGAAGAATGTAAAAATTTTTCGTTAGCGAAATAGTTTTTTATAGAACCGTTCATTACGCCACAATTTTAATGAATTTTTCTACCAAGATGACAATAGAAAAAAGGTGCATTTGAAATGATAGTGCAACTGGGAATTATTTTGAGCTTTTTCTTTGACCTAAAATACAAAATTCAACGGAGAGGCAAGCAGAAAGAAAAAAAATGAAGTAGATGATGTTTATAAGTTATCCGATACATAACGAAATTCTATTATTTACGAAATTTAACCACTTGGGGTAGAACGGTTCAGAAAGGCGAAGCTTTATTTTGCAAGGAGAATGCCTGGGTTCTATTCTCGATCCTTTGAAAGGCGCCGTTCACCTTTATTTATATCGCCAACTCACTCGCTGACAAATTTGTCTAGCCGACAAGCCAGTGGAAAATCGAACCAGGAATGGCGAGCGCTTTCCACTCTTTTTTTAAAATTATAAATTCCATTAGATGGTTTCGTAAATAAAAAGGTCAAGCTTTTCTTTAATTTCTCTTCTTTAATTTTTCGTAAAAATCTGAAGAAATTGAAAAAATAAAAAACATTTAAGTGTGCGTGCATTTATGCGCGAACGATATGCGTTGTGAAGCGAAATCTATCGTAGAACTCTTCTTTTTTACTTCCCCTCTCGCAACTGCCTTTCTCCTTCTCTATTAATTAATTCTCCTTCTCACAAAATTTAACCTCAGCCAATCAGTTGGTAAAACAACTACGCAAAAGCGAACGATTCTCATCTGAACTTTTCGCAAATGTGTGAAAAACACATTGAACGCTAATCATCAGTATTACAAGCACTAAACAAATAACAAACGTATCGCGAGTTTCGAAGATAAACAAAATTTGAGTAATAAAGTTTTTTGACATTATTTATTTATTATTTTGTAAATATTTTATCTGACATGTTTATTATAGGACTTACAGCTTAGGAAGCTCATTAAAAAATGCGTAATGCTGGCGAACCCCGCGAACGACTTTGGAACGCTTAGGCTTTAGAAGGGAATACGAACGAAAAGACTATATGAAATGAAGAGACAATTTAAAAAATTTAGATTTTTTGAAAAACCCTTTCTTTTGAAAATTTTGAGAAAATCCAAGTTTTTTCGACCCTTTAACCTTCCAAAACCGAGAAAATTAGGCAAGCTCATCACATAAAAACTTCCTGAAATAAAAAAACGAAACCTTGAAAACCAGCTCGCCAAAAACTATGGCCCTGGTAGGGTTGTTGTGCGGCCCATATTTTGCAGAAGTAAACTTCGAGGTTGGAATTTTCTAACCTTATCAATGAGGTGCAGATATATTAATGGAGGGGAGGAATGAACGAAAAATTAACTGGTCATTGAAGTAGTGCTAACTTGTCCATTGCGATGTGCTTTGTCTCTCCTTCCCCACCACCTTTCTTTTTTCTTTGCCAGTGTCTTATTCGCTTATTCGGATCTTCCAGAGGCTAATCGCCATCCCATCTCGAAAGCTTTCCAGCTGACTTTCTTAAACATCGGTAAAAACAACATCGATATAGACCAACCTCTTCGAGTTGTTGTAAAGTAACATTTTGCTGTTTTTTCTTTTGTTTATCGTTTTCAATGTTCATATAACGAAAACGTCGAGCAGTTAATTCTAAAAAACTAAAATTTTTATATATTTTAATTTCAGTGGTTAAAAAATCGATCGATGCATAAATTGTAAAAAAAATTTTTTTCTCCGCATTTCTGGTCAAATTCGCTCTGCTTGCTTTTGCGCCGAACAGATTTTGCCAGGGAGTCACTTGACGATTGAAGTACAAGTGAGGCGTCGGACCCCGCAACCCGCATCTCCATTGCCGAGAACAGAACCGACACCGACTCTCCAAAATAAAAGCAATAACCCATCGAATTCTACCCCTTGCATGAAAAATTTTTACCCCTTATAAAAAAGAATAACAAACAATTAAAACATTTTTATACGCTGGGTATTAAATATATATTATTTTTATGGTAATAGGGCAGAATATCCGAATGGTTGTTGTTTAGATTGTCGTCTTGGGCGATGGTTAATGTCCTTTCTCTAATAGGAACAGACCTACCGTTTGAAAAATCTGGATAGTACGGCAGACCGACCTGCACCTCTCTCTCTGGCAAAATTTCTCATCGTACTAATAGCCAGTGAAGTAGACCTAATGAGAAGTGGTAAGTGCTAAGCACTTACCTAATTATTATTTATTTTAATAATCTATAAAATAAATTTTAGTGAAAACGAGTTGCATTAATTTTATTTGTTTGTTTATAGCCAATAAACGAATTTCAAAACAGTCGAATCAAAAATTTTAAATCGCTAAAAAATTTTTTTCCATAAAAGTGCGATAAATTTACTTACTGAACTCGATAATATTGTCAAAATATTTTAAAATATTCACAGTAAAATTCAAAATTGAACGATTAGTCAGTTATTTTCCTAAATCGACGAATAATGTTTGGATTTATATATAAATCTGGCCAACCATCATATAAATGATAATTAATTATATAAAACTTAGCAGTTTTGTTGGCAAATTAAACAATAGAATTAGTTGAAGTCAGTAAATGTGGAATTTATGGTAATGCTGGAATCCGTATTTTTATTATCTACGACTTTCTGACAAAAGGCTTTCATCCTAACGGTCAGAATGGTAAACGAAGCCAAAAACAATTGCTATTAGAAGAACGAGAAATAAAAATGCGCCAGTTATATAAAATTATGTAGAATGATTAACAAAGCTAACTGACCAAATTATGTAAAATTAAGCCTGAGCATTCAGGTCGAGACGATAAGATTATTTTAAATTACATAAGCCTAATTTGTTGAGCAAAGGGGTCGAATCCATAAAATTAAATGATGCTAACTAGGGGTGGGATGAGGAGTGGTAAGGATGAACTAGTAATTAAGGATCGTCCATCAATGAAATCAGAAAAATTATCAATCATAAAAATTATCCGTTGCTTTGATGGTTTTCGATGCTTTAAATTAGTTCCACTATGAAGATTAAGTGAAGTGATTTCCATTGGAAAAGATTGTATTTTAAGAATGAAAAAAAGACCCCTCTCTCTCCTTCTTTCTAATTTGTAATAATTTATATTTGAACATTTTAGAAGGGAAAAAATAAAATATATTTTATAGAATTTCCCGCTGATCATCGATGAAACAATTTTATTTTATATCATCACAGATTAAAATATTCATTTATCAGTGAATGAGCTCGATTTCACTTTTAAGCTATGAATTAACTTGGTCATTGTAACTAAAATGGCCGTTGGCACGGTTTAGAAATATTTGCCATGGAATCGCTTTCTGGTGTGTCGCCAGCGACACTAAGATTTTTCAGGGATAAGTTTACTCCTATGAACTAACCACTACGACTTGCGACACTACGACTTTTCAGCGTCGACCACAAGAAAAGTAACATGGAAATGAAATAATTTCTGAAAAAATTTTAATTTTCATAATTTCACAATACCATTTCGAATAAGATGTTTTCAGAAATCCATAAATTTTCATTTTAGCGTTTTATCGACTCTCACGTTATTTTCGTTCTTCGCACAGTGCTTACGTGTACTTGCGTATCCTTTTGAGTGTATTCGTTCCTCGCAATGTGCCAACGTGATTAACGTTCTCGGACGACGAAATATCAAATAAAAAATATATTGCAGCTGTTTGTGGTCGTAAAATAATGGAAATAATTTGAATTTCAGTATAATTTAAAATACTTTTGGAAAAATTAAAATAATTAGAATTCTTATTTGAAATATTTAATTATTTAATCGAAGCGAACTCTATCCAAGAAATTTTCGGCCAACGAATCGTTTGCTGAGAAAAGTATTTATTTATTTCGCAATTCTCGCTAAATTGGTGAGTCGATGCGACAATATTCTCGCCTTATTCGCTGATATTTCATTTGAAATTTCAACTTAATTGATCGAATTCTCACAAATCCCACAAAATATTCAAAAAATACTTTAAAGTAACAAATAATAAATAAATGAAAATATATCACGAAACGGTACATTATTGACGAAAGAATTAATGCATATAAATGCAAAAGCAATTGTCGAATCGGTTTTAAGGGAATTTGCAAACGAAATTAATCATAAAAAAATCTTCGAAAAGGTCAACAAAGGTCAAAAGTTCAAAGGTTAGTGAAGTTTTAGGAAAAATTTAAAATTTTTAGATGGGAATGGTGAGGAAACAATCTCTAAGAATACGCAAAATCGCGCAACTAACTGCGTTAATTCTTTATCGATTCGCAAGAAAGCAGTTAAATGAAAGCTTTTTCCACGAGAGCGAAAATCCGATATTTTTTAAAAGCAAAATTTTTGTGGAAAATGCCTTCTCTAAGTTCAACGAGCAGTTAACCTCTGTGACTTTTAATTTTCATTTTCCCCTTATTTTCGTAACTTTTGCATATTCTTTTGCATATTTAATCATCACTATGAAGCGATATGGAATTATTTCGATAATTTTGAGGGGATAGGCCCCGTCATTAGAGAGTTCGCCTGGCTCGTCCCTAATTCTTTGGCGAATTTTCCTTGCCTGGGCAGTAAATTTAGAAATAAACCAGGGCGAAAAGAACTAAACACTTACTACTTATGAATTACAAGCGTCATATATAAAATTTTAAAGCGAATAGATGCTTCGGTATAACACTATACCATTCGTTTGCTGTGTTCAGTTGAGCGGTAGCACAAAAACAGGAAATTCCTACGTTTGCGAATGTTTACTTAAGAGGTGTAGCAGTCAGCGTCGGAACAAATCTCGGTGGACACATTTAGGTTGCGATTCTTGCAAATATGTAAACTTCTTTATTTGACTTTATACAAAAAACTAATATACAAAGCAGAACACTAAAGAAATTATTGTTTATTATACATCAGTTTAATTAGTTTATCATTAATCGCAAACTTTTCGC